ATGCCCAAAGAGATGCTTCAGCTAAACAGTCATTCCATTCATTATCTTCTGCCAATAACCCATGAGCATAACATGCCTCCTTGAAAGATTTATGTATAACTCCATTCATGGTCCTGATATCCTCAAAACTAACTGATCCACGAACAATGTGTAGGAGCATACGCAGGTAGAATTTGTCATTTGTTGGTGAAGGATGACAATAGTATAACCGACCAATTGAGAATTTGGACTTCCTTCTGTGCCATTCTCGTTTTGTTTGATCCCAAACATAGAACTGGGGAAATTCTACAAAAGTGTACTGCCTTGCTTCTGGAGATGATTGATTCATTTTCATCCAGGTCAATAACATAGAGGTCTGAGCTCGTTTAGATCGAAGTAACCCTTGAGGATTCTGGTTTTGCTTTGAGACAACAACGTTCTGACCCAGAAGATGATATGACATACGTAATACAGATGGATATTGTGAGTAGACATCAAACTTGAATAACCTCCAACATGCTTCACCAGATGTTATATAACGACAGTCTAAAAATGACTTGATCTCATCGATACGTGGAGTACGATCAGAACTTGAAGCACTCGAATCACCACCTGTAGTACTTTGAGTTCCAACTAATGATGCTTTGGCTCTATCTTGTGGTTTATTTATATATTTGAAGAGATATTTGATTGCCCTGCAATCAAAAGACAATAATGAAATATCACATATCAAACATGAATGTGAATTTTCCTCAATCATCAATACATAATTGCCTGCATTCTAATTTTATTAATTAGAAAATTTAAATAAAACTATGTTATATTCAAACGTATACCTACAAAAAAATCATGCATAGGATTTTTCAATAATTGATTAGCAATTTATACAAAATAACCCAACGTAATTATAAGAACATAAAGAACAACACGAAGCACATCTGAAAATTAAAATCATTCAGCACATACCTCGATTTATTACAGAATTCAACATTAATATGTGCATCGAAGCACAATAATAAATAGCGATTATACGGAACAACGAAACGGTTATCCAGAGCCACAGAGTGGATATTGAAAGATATCCCAGTATCACGTCGTCGATATTTCGCAAAACCATTATCATCAATTGTGGTTTGCTCACAAAACTGCTTTGGGAAATGTTTCGTACACCCCCCCCCCCTTGAGTGCAAGGAGCATTACGGCCCAAAGCACCACATGGACCATGCAACATAAATGCAGTTATAGCTCGATAAACTTCTAGATCTAGATCACGATTAGGTATCTCTGCTGATATTACAGAATCTATTTCCTTGGGACCACTTAGTTTATATTCCGCAGCTAGGAAAACTAACAAATGAGCATGAGGAAGACCCCTCTTCTGAAACTCAATAGCCATGACATCTGTAAACAAAAAATACAATATATAAAGAACTGAAATTCATAACAAATACATGATCACTCAACTTCAATTGCACTAACAAATGATTGATAAATCTTAATTTTTCATGAAATAAATTTAGGTAAATTTTACATTATACATGGAAATTACAATAACTACAAAGAGTACTCTTTCAAAAGTTGTTGAACATGCAGAAGATTATTAAATAATAGCTTTTGATAAATATAATATGTCACTTGTAGACTAAAAAGGCAACACGTGTATCCATCTATAAGATTTGTTCTTGTGATTGCAATTGGTTTTATATATGATTGAGGAGGATATGTCTTTTTGCTAAATATATAATATGTCACTTGTACACTAAAAAGCCAACACATTATATATATGATTGCTAAAAAACGAAACCAAAAATAGTATGGCAACATGTGTGTATATATATATATATATATGATTACTAAAGAACCAAATTAAAAAAGAGACTTTTGAAATCTCATCATCTACACAGGCAGAAACATAGGATGATTGAGGAATATAATAGTAAAAAAATTGAATAAATAAATAAACATATATAAAACAACTTACGTCCAGTTGTAGCCCCAAATATTTTCTTATCTCTAATCTCAGACATCAACTGATGCAATTTAAGCTTGAATACTCTAGCAAAGATATCAGATCGATTGACATCTTTCCGACCATCTGAGTTAACCAAATCCAACATAAATTGGATTTCAGGGCAATTTGCATTACAGGTAAATGTAATAAACAAATCAGGGTATACCAACCACCTACAAATAGCCATAGCATCCTGAAAATTCTCATACTTGTATCGTGGACTGCCTGTATGAGAAGCTGCAAGAATAACATGCTTGCTAGTCGAATCTAGATTAGAGTCACCACGTAAAAATGCATCCACCAAACCACTCACATAATGAGCACGCAATTTAGATTGGTTATTTCGAATCCAATCAAGACGTTCAGCTTCAACCAATGCATAAGCATTCACCACATACTGTTGAAATAACTTCCAGTTAATAACATTGCATTTGATTGATCAAATCTGGTCTGAAGACGATATGCATAATAATCACACTAGGACAAAGTATTGTTATTCCAGAGATCTTCTTCTTCATCATCCTCATCAACACAGGGTATATCAGGATGCCAACCATCCTCACCATAAGGAAAGAGAAGAAAATACTGTAATGCCATTATTGATGGATGTCCATAATTAATTCTCTCTAATTCAGAGCTCTTATATTGAACAATAATGTCTGGCTCAAATGTATCCAGACCTGTTTCATCCACTATCAAAGCTGCAACATCATTTCCCGTTGGTAAATCATATTCTCTACCATCCTGTGCACGCTTAGCAAATAATTTGATCTTTAACTCTTCAACGGTAGCTTCAGATATTTTTTCCCGAGCCATGCGAAAGGTTTGAACCAAAACATTGTTCCTGTCAAACATTTCTTGCAAATCTCTAACAATCTCATATCGCAACGTATTTGAATGATCTTCACTTGGAAATAATTGGAGTCGATTCTGAAGCTCGGAGGTAGATTCATGAATATATAATTGTGCAAATCTGGGTGGTTAACCTTCAACTGGAAGCAAGCTGCCTATACTGTGATATATCTGACCACTTATAGAATAGACATATACACCACCACCATCATTTATACCACGATCCACTTTACCGCCAAGGGAAATGAAGCTAAATATGGCATTGTATATACGGATTGCCTTCCTAAAGTGCCGACTCATAGGAGTTGAAGATTCCAAGAGATCTTTCAAAAATCCAGGTGGATCTCGCCTAGGAGGCAATTTCACCCTACCTCGTTTGCAACATAATGGAAACACCGGATTAGCATGACTCCTAGAATGTAACGTGCTTTCTTCGACCCACATCACTGCATTACAGTATTGACAAAGGCACGGAGGTTCACCAAGACTGAAAACTTCAACGGAAGGAAGACCTACACACAAAATCTCACATAAGACTATTGAAAAATAAATAGAAAATAAAAATTGAAGAGGGAAATATGTTACATAATGCAAACCAACCATGATTACGTGTGAATCCCCTAGGTATAGCATTAATCAACCGTCTTCTCAATTAACAAATAGAACGTAGTACACGTGCTCGTTTTGACCGCAAACATAACAAACACGAAGTATAATCTGTGAGAAAAGAGGAACTACGTAATTCATCATCATCAAATCATAATCAAATAATGACAACGACAACTTTTATAAAACTTATAACTACCAATATTTAGAGGCACACGACGTTGAACAGCACGTCCCAAACGCCTATTCATAATTATACCACGTTGCTTGCGATGGAATTGAGCCAACAGTAGATCCATTCGGCGAAGTTGAACATTTAACCTATCAATCCCTGCGAAGGAAAACGTTGTGTACGATAACAAATAACATACACCACAACGATATTTTTAGAAGTAGTAGAAAACACAAATAACGGATAATTACGTTGATTAAGACGGGCTCTTTCAGCCACAATTTGTTGTTGTGGAGGATGTTTAGGTGGCCTGCAAATAGCCCTCCTAAACCCTGCAAATCAAATGATTGTGACTACCAATATATAATTTCCTCCCCTCCAAACAGCATACAAAGAATCAAATTCATATATGTCATCATCTCAATACTAACATTGACCCCTATTCTGCTGATGTCGTTTTATTGTCAAGGAAGGATCAGGAGCATCCTGCTGAAGTCGATTTATTTCTGAAGAAGAACCAGGAGTATCTTCAATACAAACCATAGATGGACAAACCGGACGACGACAACGATGAATACTGGAAAAACAAAAACCTGATACGGTATTAACCTCAACACTGACCTCATATATTCCAAAAGGCCGGACAATAAGTTCATATATTCCAAAAACCTGATTCTGTTCTTACCTTTGCTAATTCTAGATAACAAACGCAGGGACGACAACCACCGGACGACGGATACTGTAAAACCAAAACCTGAAAAGCTATTAGCCTCGACACTCATTCCAAAAACCTGATACAGAATTAACCTTTTCCAATTCTACGTAGGGAACGCAATTATGGGCCAAGTCCAGCAATTAGAATTTACCTTCTATATTATTAGCCCATTTCACTTCATTAATCGGCCAGATAGCCCAAAATTGTTAATCAACCCACCAACTAACTTAACTTGTAACCAATTCCCGCAAATAGCCACCAATTAATGCCAGCCCAAAACGGAGCACTTCATTAAGCGGCCAGGAGAATGAAATGACAATAATGCCCCACCGTGAAGCTCTCAGAAGCCTCCAATTTTGAATCCCTGCAAAAGTAACCCATGAATCTGCTTCATAAATTATATAGATATCATTTAAATTTACAACCCTTATTTACACCTTTCTATTTTTTTCCCCTAAACAATAATTTACACCTCAATTTACTTTTCTATATAATTTACACCCCTATAATTTACGGCTCAATTTGCACCTTACTTGAATTTGCACCCTCTTGTTGCCAAACAGAACGTAAATTAAACACGCTACACGTGGCCAGATAACCTGCCCGACGACACGTCACAGCTACTTTTCACTTGAATAAAAGAACCAACAAAAAGAAAAGGAGAATCGTCTGCCAAAAATCGGGGCTTTTTATAATCCCAAACACGCCTCTTTCCATCCCTTCTTCTCTCCGTCTTTCCCATCTCCTCCTGAAATTCCAATTCCATTTCCACCCAATTTCCCTCTCGTTCTCTCCCTCGTTCGTCTCGCCCACTTCTCAGCCGCCGGCGTAAGTTTGATTCGCTCGGCGATTTCAGTTCGAATCGATCTCCTCGCCCCGCCGACATCATGAATCCTGAATAGTAAGTCGCTCCTGATTCAACCCTCAATCACCCGCTCAATATTCTTTTGTTTCTCCGGGATATCAATTGTTCTTCGCGTGTGCCTTAGAATTATGGATCTGAGGATCGATTACTATTTCCTTTGCTTACGTTTTTCTTAGATCTAGGCAGTTAAGGCTTTAGATCCGTTTCGCGCTGCTCTTTTGCTGTTTTTTGGGTGTGCGATTATTTGTTGATGAATTCATTCCTGCTGCCCCTCCTATTGTTCCTGCAGCGATTACTTGTTCAAGCTTCTGCTTATTGGAGATTCTGGTGTCGGGAAATCATGTCTACTTCTGCGATTTGCTGTGAGTTTTTTTCTCCTGCTGCTCATGAATTCAGTATCTGTTGCTCTTAGGGTTTCCAATTGCTAAGTATCGGTTACTCTTACTTGATTGCTGTTACTGGATTGTTCGGTGTCTTGTAGTTGTCACTTGAACTTAGTTAGTGCTTTCATCGGTAAAATTGTTTGCTTGATCCTTCACCATAAGTGATAAGCTAGCTGCCACTGTTTCGCTGCAGAGTCTCATAAGCTCTATGATTTTGAATTGGTCGGAATTGTAATGTTTTGGCTTCGTAAGCTGTAACTCCGGTCTGAAATTTGTCGTGACGGCTCTTTATGATTTGTTAAACAGGATGACTCTTATCTGGACAGCTATATCAGTACCATCGGAGTTGACTTCGTAAGTGTGTAGTTCTGCTGGGGGTTTCCATTGTTATTGCCTGTTCTATATCTTTTCATGGTACTGAATAAGCCATTTATGTTGTGTCTTGAAGAAAATTCGTACTGTGGAGCAAGATGGGAAGACCATTAAACTGCAAATTGTAAGTTTTGTTTTGCTCTTTTTCCTGTGGTTTCACTGTTTGAGCCGACTAATTTTAGTTGTGTTCTGGTTTGAAATTTTTTCCTATTATGCAATACCCAACTTTGGGAATGTCAAATTTCAAGGAACTCATTTTAAGGATATAACCTTAGTTTAGTAACTAATTGCCACCCTCCATCTACAGTGGGACACAGCAGGGCAAGAACGATTTAGGACAATCACGAGTAGTTACTACAGGGGTGCTCATGGCATCATTGTAAGTTAGGCACACTTTTATATCCTCTCTTCTGCTTTTGTTTTATCTTTTGTACCTCTCTCTGATTCGAGTAATGTGTCTTGGATAGGTTGTTTATGATGTGACGGACCAGGAGAGTTTCAACAACGTAAAACAGTGGTTGAATGAAATTGATCGCTATGCTAGTGAAAATGTGAACAAGCTTCTAGTTGGGAACAAGAGTGACCTGACTGCAAACAAAGTTGTTTCGTATGAAACAGCGAAGGTAACGTTGGCTTTAGGCATTGTTTGGTTTTCTGTACAATAAATCATGCGACGGAAACTTTGCTGAAAAAACTTTCATACCCCTTCAGGCATTCGCTGATGAAATTGGGATACCGTTCATGGAGACTAGTGCTAAAAATGCCTCCAATGTAGAGGACGCTTTCATGGCGATGTCTGCTGCAATCAAGACCAGGTACTTCTATTGCTACAACAAGTACATAAATTTCCTTATTCTTTGTTGCTGTGATCTTACAGCAGTGTTGTGACTTACTTACAGGATGGCTAGCCAACCTGCATCAAACACGGCCAGACCTCCAACCGTCCAAATCCGCGGACAACCCTGTGAACCAGAAATCAGGCTGCTGCTCTTCTTGAGAAGCTTAGTAACAACAGGCTATCTGCTCGTGACGTTTAATCTCTCGTCGTATCATTGTGTGGCTTAGTTCTCTATTCTTACCGCGTTTGATATGGAAAAAGGAATTACTATTTGTTCTTTGTTTTCACCTTCCCTATTTTTCAGTTCTGTTGAAACTTTGATTCTCTGAATGTAATCTGATTTCAGGAAGGTTAAAATTACCATTTGTACAAATTAGGAAATACTGTTGAATGGCAGCTCTGTTTTGCATTCTTTGATCTCCTTTATGTTATATTGTCTCCCCAGTCCTACCGTACACTCCATGTTTAAGACAGTTTGTCAACTTTGATTAGATTATGGGTTTGTCATGAGAGTGACCTGTGTTTCAATAATTGCGTGGGAGATTCCCCAAGCTGTAAGATGCTTATCTTTGGACTGTAGATTGTGGGCATCTGAAGTAATGCTTATCCCATTTCTACTCCTTCCACTTTTGAATTGCTTTTAGGGGCGTCTTCACAAAGCCGTCTTTTTCTTTCCCTTTAAAGTTTAACCTTACTTAATCAGACTATAATTGAGATGGGATCCTTGTAGCTGGCAAATTAGGGAGACCTGGTTATGTACTTTCGATCTTTTTATATTAATTATGAGTCATTCCAGTTAAAGTTAATGCTTCTTGTTAGTACAGTCGGACGCAATAGCGATTGGGTCAAGATCAAGCAGGTTTTTTGATCAAGCTCAGCAATTTCAGTGTTCTTGTGTACCCTGTAAGCGGCCAAAAGGGCTCCATATGTACCAGCTCGACTGAGAAGATCCAACACTACAAGTACTGTGATCACGTTTAGATTGAACCTCATAATCTTTCCCTATCCCGTCTAACAAACTCGGCTAGTTCGCCTACTTCGTGCTGCACAACCACATCCTTACTCAGGTTCACTCCAGCTTGAGCTATAGAATTCTCGACATAACCAGAATCATGGTGTCTTATGTGACCAAGTTCTTTCTCCATCATTTCTGCGATTGATTTCTCTGCAGTTTCGATCCCCCCAAGCTTCATTTGCCCCGGTTATCAGTGTCATCTATGTAGGCAACCGTGCTTTTCACTAATACATTTTCAAACACCTTCACCGCTCTATCCAACTCCCCACAGTCAGCATCCCCATACATCATAGCGTTCCAAGCAACAACAGCCAAGCCGGATATCGTCGTGTTCCATGAAGCTGCATCCTTGCAATGTATTCGAGTGAACAAGCCTAGTGCCGCTTCCATAGCCAGGCTGTTAACATAGCAAGCCAACATTGTGTTGTAAAACTGTAACCGGGGAATTTTCACAAACACCTCCTGGGCAACGGGCATCTCTCAATTTCCCGCAGCAGCGGCAGCAGCAGCATCAGGCCGCCGGATCAGCTGTAGCTGCTGATCTAGACCACCGGCAGAGACCTAGATAGACAGTCAGCTGTTTACAAGTCAAGGCTAAGTCATCTAAGCTCAGTTATTCGAGATTTTAGTCAATCAAGGATTAGACAGAAGTGCCAACACAAAATATTCAGAAACACATGAAGATGTAGTAGAGCAAGAGGAAGACCGAAAAACAACAGTAGTACAACTACAAATCCCTAAATTTGACGAAACAAAACTGCTGCTAAATGCTAACCATCCAAGTTCCGAAAGACGATAAGACTCCAAGACTCCCCTAAACTTACCTGTTTTAACCAAAAATATAACAAAAAGGGGGGGATAATAAAAAAGAAAAGTGATGACAAGAGTATCAAGCTTATCCAAAGTTGCAGCAAAGGAATCACTGCCAGAAGATAGACCCAAGACAGGCATATCTAAATTTACACCCAAATTTAAACTAAGACAAGAGTTGAATTAAAATATGCGTTCTGTTCTCGAGCGTGACTCCTGATGATAACGAACCAAACCCCCTTCGACTCCACCGGACTTCTCTTCTTGCAGAAAAATCTTCACTTGCCACCCAGCGACGGGAACTGCCCTGGTCTTCGATAGATGGGGCTGACACGTCAACGGCTGTTGTAGCCTCCTCCATATCCACCGCTGGATCTACCCCACGATCACCGCGCCCACGGCCCCTGCCACGGCCACCACCCCTGTAGGGGTTCTCGCCTTCAGCTGGCTTTAGGAACTCATTTATGCTCACAGCCTGCATTTCGTATAGATTAATCATTATCAGCCAGTGTTGCACAAACGAGAGATGATAGAGCCAACACACGATACAAGGGTATGCGAGAGATGCAAGACACAAAACACATACCTTCTTACCCTCTCTTCCCTTTCAGCAGCAGTTTCTTTTTTCTTGTCCTTGTCAGAACCCTGTGAAACCCAGAAATTTTGCATTTCAATGATTTGATTCATTCATGTTTATAGAATAGAGTGTGTGGATTTAGTTCACTCACCAGCTTGGCAAAGATTTCTACATTTTCCTTCTTGCAGGACAGCTGTTGCATGGACTCAAATTCTTTAGCATCGACCTTCCTTTCCTCGCTGGTCTTCAGAGCAAGTAAAGCCTTCCTCTTCTCCTCAAGAACCTTCTCATACTCCTCCAGTGTCATCTCCTGCTTTGGAGGATAACCACAGAACAGAGATGGAAATTATTAGAACATATTACTTGAGTAGCAATACTATGGCACTACTGATGTCACTGACACAACATAGGGAAGATAGATTTGACGAACATTAAGTTGTCTAGATGTGATTTTTAATAGGTTAGAGATGCAAACTAATGGAACACCTGAAGGTAATCAACAATTCACACCAACTCCCAAAGAGAACATAATCCACAAAACAGAGGTAAGCAGTTTATAATGAAATGACTGAAAATTCAGAAAGACCACAACTTCAAAATTAGCTTCAATTTGAAAGAATAGAAATCAATTTGCTTCAGAAGACCACACCTTATCCTCCTCAGGCTCTTTCTCTTCAGTTTCATTTGCAGGACTGTCCTTGTTGGCATCAGCAGCCTCACCCTCAGCAGGTTGCTTCTCAGCAGGTGGCATTTGCTTCATTCTCTAACCACAGGTTCTTCAGTACCTCTATACCGAAGTAGACAAAAAACGGTATCAAACCATCACAAACAAATAGAGCATACATCTCTTGACAATAACAGAACAATAACTCACGGTGCAACATCATCTGAAGCAGTCCCCCAGTTTCCACGACCAGACCCTTCACAGCTTTATCTCGCTCCTGATGCATACACATTAGACACCAGTCTTACTCGCACAATCAATCACTAAACAGACAACCCAATTACTAAATCATCAAAGCAAATACTAACCCACGGCCAGTTCCGCTGCGACGCTCAAACACCCTTCTGGGGCGCTCGCCCTCACCAGCTTCTCCATTACTATAGCCACCACGACGTCCACGGGAAGAAGGGCCGCCACCAACAATGCGAGGACCACCGTAGCTACGCCTCTCATTCGTCCTCCCAGACTCACCATCTTCAGATGGCTTGCTGTTACCATAACCAGCCTCGTAGTTGTTAGACTCCCTGTTGAAACCACCGCCACCACTTCGACCACCACGTGCATAACGCGGCCCAGCACCACGATTCCCTCCTCCACGGCCACCTTCATTTCTCGATTCCCTCACTACTCAACATATCAAACAAACAAGTCAACAACCAAGCTAAAACAAACACAGCACGAGGCAATCTAAACCTAGCCGCACACACAACTGAGCACAGAACAGCATAAAAAACAGCAATCCACCACCGCTAACATGGAGAACCGAGCAAGGATACCAGACTCAACGCCCCGACAATCACAGCGCACAGCTCAACGCAGCTCAATAGTAAGCGAATCAAACACAGTAATAATCTCCATCCATCTAGGAGTCGAAACAAAAATCTGAATACGAACAGCTCAATAAAGCGAAAACAAATAGGAAAATATAGTGATTCGAAGCTCCTTACCAGCTTGAGCAGGGGCAAGCGGCTTGTTAACAAGCTTGCCTTGCGGAGCTTGAGCCGCAGCAGGAGTAGCAGGAACCTTAGGCTTCTCCTTCTCGACCTTAGCGATGAGCAGCGAAGGATCGTCGTTATCGTCGTCTCCGAGGAGATCGAAGGGGTTCATGGTCGCCATTTCTGCTCTTCCGATTACTTCCGAGAAAACTCCCCTCGCCAATCAAATTAAAGACCGTCTAGAACAGTACAGACCGCTCTATTGATTGCTGGACGCCATAGCCGAATGAAGAGAGTGTTCGGTGGGAGACGAAATGGGGAGAAACGAGAGAGAAAAATTTTGTGAGAGTTAATGTGTGGAAAACCCTAGCCACTGCGGCTGACGAGAAAATGAGAGAAGTGAAGAGTGTGGAGCGTTGGCATCCTAATCTTAAAAACCCTAGTTGGAAGAAGGTGAGAGTGTTACGCTACGGGAGGGTGCATTTTATTGTTCGGGGAACCTGCCTTGAGAGATGACAATCTGTTCGTTGATTGACCCGATGCCTGATCAAGAGGATTATTATTACGGTTTTTAACCGCGACCGCGTGATTTTGCTTTTATTACAGTGATTTGCCTCCCTTCGCGGCTGTTCGAATAAGGGAATGTACTCTTGGGTAAGTATGTTGGTTTAATGAATTTGTTTCTAATTTCGGTCCAAGATAGGGTGCATAATTATGAGTAACCAAATCTAAACCCTTCTTTTAAGTGGTTGCAGACCTAAGAGTGGAGAATTAAAAGAATTTATTTTGCTTAGTTTTATTGATTGGATCATATCTTCTTCATTCTAACTCGGATTTCAAAAAAAAAATTGCACAGATGGAACAAGTTCGTTGTGCTCTACAAAATGAAATCCATTTTCAATATTTTTTGAGGAAAAAATATTGCATACCTCTCGTTACCAATTTCATACCATATGGTATCCCTTCATTTTTTAGTCGTTTTCGAAAAATTTTAACACAGAAGGAACGATTTAATCATGATCTATTGGATTTCAAATTTTTCTCGGTGAAAAAATTTCATATCTCTCGTTACCAACTCCATACCATACTATACCACCCTGATATGGGGTGGTATTTTTCATACTATATGGTATGATGTTATTTAATACCAGTCAATATCATATGGTACAGTCAATACCATATGGTATAGACTGGTAATAACTGGTAAATTTTTTTGTTCCAAAAAATATCGAAGTGGATATCATTTTGAAGAGCGCAATTAATTTGATCTAACAGTGCAAAAAAATTAAATTTCGACTTAAAACGAGTGAGAAATCGTTCGTTAAAAATTAAGAAAAGAAAAATTAAAGGTTTTTCCATGAGAGAGAAGGAGGCGCTGATGTGGCGGATTCTTATTGGGTTATGCATGGGGTTATAGTACCACAAGGTTACTCACGTATCTGCTCCCGGTAATTTCCACTTATAGGACATCCAAGTTCTAATAGGTTGATTGATTTTTTTTTTTTAAAGAGCTTGTTTTGACTTTTGCCACAAACTCAATAGCTCTGTGAAAACTTTAAAGAGCGAAAAGACACGAAATTGACACAAAGGACAAGAAAAGAGAAAAAAAACTTCCCTATAAGTGACTCCGGGAGCGGTTATGGTCATTATTATTTCATAGTAATCACCATGGTTACTTACGTATCGTTTGGTATAAATGAATTTCATAAGTTTTGAGTAATTCATTTTGAAATGAAATATTTTTGTGTCTGGTATTAAAAAGAATTCATTTTCAATTCTAAATTTTGAATTCTACGGAATTGGAACCAGTTATAGTAATTCCGAGTAATTGAGATGGAATTTCCAAATGAATTGCACAAGTATTTACTAATTATAATAGAATGACATGATTATCCTCTTTTATTAACTAAATTACTTATACATATGACTTACCAAATACATGAATTCATTTGACAATGATTCTACACGACACTTCATTTTATTTCTAAAGATTTGAATATAACATACCAAACGTAGAATTTCATTTGACAATGAATTCTACACGGTAATTTATTTTACAATGAATTGAATTCTTGATTTATTTGGTACCAAACAGTCTGTTAGAGCAAATTGGGTATGACAAAAACAAATTATTAATTATTTTTTAATAAATTGCATTTTAGATAGTTACAAACAATACTAATTACAATTCTCTCTCTTTTTCTCTCACTTCTGTAATCTCCGGTCATATCTCTCTTCCTTCCTTTTCTCAAATTTTCTTTGTCTCCTTTCAATCGAAATAATACAAGTGAAAAAATAAAATAATAAGTCAATACCAATCCATTAAACAACCATTACCACTTTGAAAAACATGAATACCATTGAACAAATAAATCAATATCATTATGAAAAAAATAATATCATTGCACTAAAACTACCAATATAACAATCTATACCATTACAAGAGTCAAACCGATACCAAAATCAACCCATACCACTACTATTGTGAAATTCGAACAATACCATTGCAAAAGTAAATCAATACCATTGTGAAAAAACTATCATTATGAAAAACAAAACTATACCATTTCATCAAATAAAACAATAAACCAGTACCAAAACAATAAAAACCAAATCTGAAATCTGCACGAAAGTGTCGGCTCCTCTCACCGGGTAGTGAGAGAGAGAGGGAGAGAGAGAGAGGGGATAGGGGGAGAAAGGCATGCTATGGGGGTAAGGAGTGGAGGGGTGGGGAAGGGAGGCGGGAGGGTGGTGGTGGTCGACTGGGAGGAGGGTGGCGGGGTGGAAAGAGAGAGCTGGCGGGAGCCTGGTGGGGTGAGGTGAGGTGAGGAGAGGGAATGTCGAGGTTTCTATTTGGGGAGAGATGGAGATTGATGGATTTTAGTATTTTGGAAAGAGTAACGAGATAGTAAATCATAAATATAGGTAATAATCTTATGTGTTAATATTTTTATTCCAAAATTATCCTTACCCATATGTTGGTTGCCAATTAAGGGTCCATATGTTGGTTGCCATGATGGTTACTGAAAAACTAGTATACACCCTAACCCATTCCAAGTGACTCCTGCACTGTGAAGGGATGTTTCCTCGATGTAGGATCCATGTTGACTAGTTGAGAAACTCAGTAATATGTAACAAGCAGTACATTATGAGTAAGATACCATCACATAGCCTACTAAGGGCAATTAATTTTGATATGAGCATCGCTAATTCCTTAATAGAATTTACTGAAAACAAATGAAATAATTCCATCACATGAGAAGTCGACCGAGTTAGTTGCATATCCTTGATGATTCTTTGTCACAATTAAATAAATAATTTTTGTCACAGGTTGAGGAGATGCTCGACCACAACTTCACAACACTAAATTTTCTTGCAAAGAGACCAACTACAAAAGCACCACCATGGTGCTAAAAATCTCTAACCGAAGAGATTAGAATATGCCATGAGACATAGTCGAAATCTACCGAATACACCGCACCATTTATGTGATTTCAACCCTTACACAGAGGAGTTATATGGTGAGTAATCAGTAAAAATGGTCACAAATCTTTGCATTTAGTACAATCGAGGTATGGTGACTTTGTTAATTTATGGACGATACGATCGTAATAAAGGATGACAATTAGGGAATTCAACACCTCACAAATGGGTAGCATCTACTTTTCACACGAAGGAACTAGGCCTGATTTCTTGTTTTTTTTTTGTATCGAAATTGAAAGGTCAACATAGGACATTCTTATTTGGCAAAGCAATATATCGATGATCTTTTAGAAATAACACGTTTCGACGAGTGTATCCCATCCAATACACATATGGAGCTTCATTTGAAACTTGGGAAGGATACTAGGATACCTTTAGAAGATGGTAGCCACGACAAAAGTGTAGTCCATAAGTTCATATATGACGAACACGCGACCCTACATCTCATATGTTGTTCAAGTGGCTAGTATCATATACTTGACAAACACACGACCCAACCTTAAAAAAGTAAAAAAAAACCTTTAATTTGTAATGCCTCGGTAACAAACCTTTGCATTTAAAACACAAAAGTCACAAAGTAAACAAAAGTGACCATTTCATATAAATTCAAACTTTTGTTACTGTATCATTACAAATTAAAGATTAGTGACAGTTTTGTACTAAATGAAAAAGTTCGTAACCATTTATGCTAATTACCTGTTATATGGTGGGGTGAATTTATATTTTATTTTATAGGGGTTATCTAGCTGTGGAAATGTCTGGTTCGTTTGGAAGCATATTATGTAAATGTGGCATTTAACATGTGGTATTTTCATTCAAATATTATATTTATATAGGGAAAAAAAAATGGTAATTGTGATTGTGGTTAGGGATGACAATCAACCCATGAACACGTGTATTCAACAGACCGACCCAATCAACGCAGGGAGTTTCCACATTAACTGGGTATTGGGCGGGTATGTGTAAAATCCGCAAAAAGTTCGATGGGTATGAAACAAGTATGGTTTTAGCCTTTCTCGTCCCACCAAGAGCACTTCTTCTATATAAAAAAATATGTGGATCAAATTGTAATTATCAATGACAGTGAGAGTAATTCAAGAAAATAAATAGTATAAATGCAATTGAGTGGCCACCCAATCAAAACCTAATTCTCTTCTCTCAATTCTCTTCT